CGATGGTTTTAGTTAATCTTCAATTTAAACTAACTGATGATTTAAACCACAGTTAACACGTTTGCTGCTGGCGTTGTATTTTTACAACGTGCCTACCCGGCGCCAGGAGCTAGCGTTGTACATATACACAATAAAAAATATAGTTTCCCAAAATCCCCACCAGGGTCGTTTAGAACAGGGCTTTGTCCCCACCTCTTTCCTGATAGATAGCGACACTACTTTACCGACTGCAACCTGGGCAATGCTACTATCTATCAGAATCGCTTGGTACTATGTCCAAAGCCAGTTTTATTGCAGAACATTGCCATCCAGTATAACTACTGTTGTTTTTACTGTAATTCAGTGTGTCGGCAGCAATGTTTATGCAGCGACAAGCGTTAGTTCAGCTCCTGGCGCCGTCCCGGCATCTAGCGGTCAGCAGCGAACGTGAAACTATTGATTAGTTAAGTTAATCTGAAATAAACAAAACAGAACTGTAATAGGCCTACAAACAAATAATTTTAATAAGGTAATAAATTGAAAGAATTAACAAATAAGTACAGCTGAGGTATTTTTAACATTAGGTATATGGAAAGTTTAGAAAGGAATTACGACCAATTTATGAAATAATGGATAGTGTTGCCCAAGGTTTCTCGTCATGACGATCATTTTAATTATATGGTTTATGGGGGCGTGACTTTCTCAACAGTTCATGGGTACTTTGGGATACCATCAGAAAAATCATAGCTGATCAATTCAGAAAGAAAAGTTATGAGGTCTATGAAGAGGTCACGGCTATAGAAGAAGAGGGCTCTGTGAGGCGGAGTGACATCATTGTTATAGACAAGGAGAAAGATTTCGGTCTCATTATAGACCCAACAGTTTGTCTTGAGACAAATCAATATCAGCCACAGGAAGTCCATGAAGAAAAAGTAAATATTTATAAGAAAACTATCCCCTATTATTCGGAGAAATACAAAATATCAAAATTTGAAGTATATGGACTACTCATTGGATCAAGAGGAACAATTCCTCAACAAGTTGAGAAATTTTGGAAGAAATTCAATTTGGAAAATCAAGTGCTATATTTAATATCTTTAACAGCCATAAAATTTTCTATTAATATTATAAGAAACCACCTACCGGTATATAACAATTATCACAATTAGGTTTAAACAAACTTGCAAAATTTAATGTAATATTATTCTTTGTTCTACAGCAGACTACAATGTGTAGTAAGATTTCAATTTTTAAAATAAATTTGAATTTATATATGGATCTGGTTTCACCAACGAAAACGCGGCAAAACTAACGCTGGTTTTATAAACAAGAGTTTTGAGTAAACTCCAGGTGGCGGTGGCATGACAGTGAACTGTCATTAAATACCGTGCTGTTGGGAGCAAGCATAACCTAGAAAATAAATCAGTGTTTATGAGGTAATGAAAACAAAACTGGAGACAGTAATATTACAAGAATACAATAGATTCTGAGCAACAAGAACAAAATAACAACAGAATAGAAGAAAAATAGCAAAACAATTAACATGAAAAACAGATTCAATTGAAGAACAAATTGATTGAGTCTTGCTGTTGAGTCAAGACTCAAAATCTAATTTTTACGGGAAGTTCAAGATTTCTGCTTGTTTACTCACCAGTTTGGTAGATTTGAAGTAGTGAAAAAACTAAGAGCCAAAACGAGTTTCAATAACGAGATATGATAAAGATAACATCAAAATAATGATTTTCTGTAAATACTAGCAGAGTAATGACAATTTAGGTTTATTTATTGTCCTTAATTACGTCTGACCGAACGCAAAACAATTGTTTGAGCGTAGGTTAAGGTTACCCAAAACCGGGAAAAGGAAAAGGGAGCCTATTTTTTCGAACAATGAAAAATGAATTTAATAATGTTGGTAGAAAATCACTCATTTTAGCTGAGATAAAAGCTTGATCGCCAATCAGTTCAACGCGATCGCTGATCACATACGCCTTTACTGAAAACCTTATGGGATAACCTAAAGAAAAAGGCAAAATGATTTAATAATTCACTAGTGGCCTGTAGGGGCCATAGCCCCTAATTTAGACTAAAAAAAACCATATATAAAAGGACAAATATTTGAAATATGTTTTTAAAATTATCAATTTTATGTTACTTAAAATTAACAGTGCTTCTTGTTTTATATTTTGGTTTTCCTTCCGTTGGAGTCGTATATTAGTTGCTTCTGATGTGTCAATGAAATACAATTAATTGTAAAATAATGATTAAATCAATAACACAACATATTAACAAATGGAAACGTGCACACAGTTTGGCCTGAGCCCGGAGAACGACGAATAAGAGCTGAAATCATACAGCCAAACATTGCACATCTTTTCTAGTTTAAAATTGAAGATTTGTTTTCTAATCTTTCGAATTCTGTTATAGTTTCCATTTTGAGAACCCAATATAAAGGTTAAAATTATTATTAATTATTATGAAGGCAACTCCCCATTTCGCGATAGTAAGTCAGAAATATATCTATGAATTCGTCCCTGAATTTTAAAACAGTAAGGCCATTTCCAGGAATATCTTTTTGTGTAGCGGAAAGCGACGCAAAAGCCATTGTACTGTTGTATTGCTTTATGTTTTTTATGAAGTTCGAATCATGTAAAAACAGTTCTTTTAGTTTGTCATTTACTTGTGGTCGTGGAATGTCCATTGTGGCAACATGCGTTGAAATGTCCATTTGTGGTCTCCTCTGCGAAGTGAAATGCGCCACAACGCATGCAAGTGCTTTAAGAGGACCTAGATTGTGAGAAACAAAACTCAACTCATTTTCCAGCGTTCTTCTAAAGACAGGTTGTAAAACAGCTTCTGGATTCCTTTCACAGTTCTACATAACATTCTCTTTAGCATTTCTTAAGTCTGTTGAATTCCTGGACACTCTTCCACGTCTTGCAGGTCTTCCCCTACCCTGTCTAGCTACTTCACTCATTATAAAACGGAAAACAAAAAAATTAAACACAATTCATTTTAAAACTTTATTTACCAACACTGACTTTCGGAATAAATGTAAACATTGCAAATAAATAAGTAACAGCTGATAGAGTGCAGACTTTTTCAGTCCCCATGCATTTCTTATGGTGGATATTTTACGTTATATCTCGTTTTCTGGTAATTTTATGGGAATTCTGCTATTTTTCCCGAGTCCCTGGGGGTCAAGACCTTTATTTTACGACCTCTCCCACTTTTCTGCAACTTACCAGACGTCCACAATTTTCTGGTAAAAATTTGGTCTTACAGAATTATATATATAGATATCTAGGGTTAATTTTGTCTTAGGTAATTATTAAAATCATTTAAAACGGCCTTAACACAAGCTCATTTTAGTGTTGAATTAAATCTTATAGGTTGTTATATCATTTCAGAATTTCATTTTGTCCGTGATATCACAAGTAAGTGAATCGCATACAAAGTGTCGTTTTTAAGCTGATTATGAATGCCATTGAGTGTGACAAGGAGTGAGATTGTCTGTGTTAAAGTAACATAGTTGCTGCTTATCTTAGTGTTTTGTTCTTACCTAGAACCTTTATTTTAGGGGTTAAGATACATTAAAACCCAAATGATCATGGACAGCTTATCACATTTTTGCAAACCCAAAAGATAGCACTATTACTCATCTCTATTGTCAGTTAATGTACAACACCTGTTTCAAGCTGAGTGTTAAGGGGGGTGAGGCTGGTCTATAATATACAACGTTGATGGCTTAGGTGGAACTTGTGGGACGTCAGTAGACTCATTGTGTGATGCTCTTTTAATCAGGCATTTTGCTACAATGACAACCTCACAGTGAGTAGGCTATGACAAGAAATTTGTTATTTCTAATTAATTTGATTTGATTGTTTTTAAATACAAAACCTAACAAACTAACAACTACCTTTTACCTGTGGTTTAGGGGTGGGTGTTAAAAAAGCAAGTGTTAAAAATAATACTATTACTGAAGTACCTTTTACCTTGGTAATAGATTACTGAGGATAACATATATTTGTAACTTTGTCTGAACTTATAAAACACGCAAGTGGAATAAAGCTGATCATGTCTTCCTATCAACAGTGAGAATCATAAAATAAGCCCCTGTTTAATATATTACCAAGAATACAATTTTATTTTTCGGACGTCTGAACTATTACAACAAGCGAGTGAAATAACGCAGGTTGTGTACTCCTACTAACTTAACAGCCACAATCAAGAAAAATAGTCTGCAAGGAGAATATCATATTATTTTTGTAATGTCGTCTGAATTGTTAAAACGAGGATTTGAAATAATCCGATCATGTCAGGAGCGTCTGCTTGTAGAAATGCCAAGTAAATGCTCTGGTTACTTTTAATATAACAGTTGTAAAACGTCACTCTATTGCAAACATATACTATATAGCCTATAGACCTCTCTATACAGTATCTAATATAGTTACCTATTGTATTTATCCAATACCTCTTATAATGACTACCGCTATAGACATAATTTTACAAACAAAATATTTTGGTGTTGTTTATTAAGTTAGGTTGTAATAATAGTTTTCTACTCTCACTTGGCTACGGTCCAAGAAACTCTTCAATATATATATCTTTGAATTCTTCTTCTAATAAAAAACCTGTAAACTTAATGAGGATTTTCAGGATCAATTGTGTGTTCATTGAAAGAGAAAGTAAATTTTTAAACCTTAAAAACGATCCTAGGCCTACCTAAATTTCTACTGCTGGACAGAACTTTTGGGTTGATAACCATCCAGTTCTATCAAGGATATTCATTTAAGCTTTAAGAGCTTATTTTTGATACAAAACGTAATCAATTTTGATTGGTCACAATTCAGCCAGGTTTCCATTTGTAAGCCTAACTAAAATTAATTGAAATGATTTATTGTCAATCTGATTTCAGCAATGTTCCAAAAGCAAGCTTAACCACGATTATTGGCCCAGTAGACATCCTAGTTTTAAAACAATTTACGTACACGTAAAATATCATAGTTCACTGTTTTTTTTAGGAAGGAAAAGTAAATGGAATAAAGGCATGGTGTTGTCTTCATACGATGTCTGTTCATTATAAGTTCAAGTCAGCATTGAAATACGATACCATTACATTTGATGGCCTCCACATTTCCGTTAAAGATTTGAAGAGAGATATTTTGCAACAAAAACAGATTGGAAAAACTGGTGATTTTGATCTGCAAATAACTAATGCTCAGACAAATGAAGGTAGGAGGAAGTTTTTGGTGTTGGTGTACATAGCATGTAGGTTTTCTGCTTGTCAGGTTTTAATACTAACTCGCATTTACAAAATGTTATTGGACAAAGTGCTGGGTCTTGGATAGTATATAAAGGACTCTTAATGAATAGTAAAGGATTATTTAGAGCGTGAATAAAGGTGAAGGTTGCATTGAATAGTAGAAATTTAATAGTACCAGAAGTTAGTTTTAATATAGTTAAAGAAAGACCTTGAATACTACAGGGTGGTTGTTACGGAAGATTTTATGTAGATAATTGTTGTCATAGTAGTTCTATATGTACTGATTATCATGAAAATGCTCAGATCGCTATGGTCAGTGGTGCGGCCTGTTTTTGGACCTCTTTCACAGTTACGCGTCATCAATTACAACTCATTTGTCAGCTTATTAGCCATAACGTTTAATGACACTTGACTTAAGGCTAGCCAGAGTTCTATGTGATTGCTTTGAAAAGTTGACAAGATAGGCTCATAGCTCTTTGACAAGCATCACATTGAATGCTGTTAGAGAACCTTCTGCATTCTTAACTTGCATGTTGGGTGATACCATTGGTTAAACATAGGTTACTCATCATGATTTATCAGTTCTGAAGACAATGTCAAAGCTAATCCATCCTTTTTTTATGGAGAGTGATTATTTGTTTACTATTTGTATCTTGTTATTTTGGCCAACAAGTTTAAAACAACCATTTCAACAATGGCCTTATGCTATATAAAGCTACTAGCAGAGTACCCGTCCTTCGTACGGGGTTGGAATATAAGTATAAAATGCTTATTGCAGTTATACTCAAGCTTTGCGATTGAAATGGGTGGAGGACACAGTTTGATAAAATTTGCTTTTTTAAATTTACAGTATTCTATAGTATTACACATCTACCATAGCCATAATGTTCTACCATTTTACCTAAACAATAGAGAAAAATGAATTATCAATTCGCAAAATATCACAAATTATTTATGAAATGAAAAACATATACATAACTGTAAACAATCCTACTTTGACAGTTCTCATTGCGAATCACAGTTTTTTGTTGCTGCTTAGTTCAAATTAGCTGTTTTCATAAATGCAAAAAAAATAGTGCTGCACCCTGTTGGTAAATCTTATAACTTTTTAATGCTTTTCCATATCATAGAACCAACTTTTTTAGTTGAAACAGCTGACTAAATTCTTTAATTCCCTTTAAATATGCATACTCATAAGGTTAACATGGGGAATTACAGAGCCACTGGGGCGGAGCCCGAAAGGATTTTTGAGATAAGAATATGCCTATATGTTAATCGGGAATGTAAGCTATCATCATGCCAAATTTCAGCCCAATCCGTCCAGTGGTTTATGCGTGATTGAACTTCAAACAAACAAACAAACAAACAAACAAACACACAAACTTTCTAAAGCTATAACTAGATTACAACGTTAATCTTAAAATCCAACCCTAATATATGTAAAAAACATCTAATCAACAAAAGCGTAACAAACATTGGGCTTCAGATTTTACAAAGGGATTATAAGCTGACTTGCACTATTAAAAAATCAATGGGAATAATTTTAACCCCTTAGCCTGGGTCATCAGGTTTTGTATATAACCTCAATCATGAGGTCTGTGTCCGTCTGCTTTCCAAGCCATCTTAACTTCTTTAATAGTTTGCTTGATATAATAATAAAACAATCTGGTGAAGGTACTTAAAAAAGTAATTTCCTCTAAAAAGTCTCTTATAAAAAAAAGTTAACTAGGTATTAGTTCAGAAAAAAATCTTAAACTTTGCATTGATACAAGAAATAAAATAATATTAGTGTTTTGTAAATTCAAGACTTTATTGTCTTCCGGCCAAGACCGATCAAGCTAGCCCAAGTCTGTAAAGTATAGCATTGTATGTCTCATCAACTAGCATACCAAAGGAGAAAAAGTATTTTGCTAATACATATTCTGTAAAAGACTCGTTCAATTTTGTTCAGCTGATCCATATCAATAACATTCCTACTGCTGTTGACTATTGAATACCAAAGTCAGCTTTACTACCATGATTTTTTCTATACATTAGCAGCTAGCTGGCAGCAGGTGTTCAGTTGGTTTCTATTGAGACTGATTCTGACTTATGGTTTATGTTGAGGAAATTGCTTACTGATTGATGTATTTAAACTTCGAGGGTTTGCTGTTGTCCTTGGTAGTTTTAGTAGTTCAGTCAGGGGAAGTAAAAAATTTAGGCCCTAGCCCTGGAGTTAGGTATGAGCAGGATCACAACATGAGTTCGATGGAGGCCCTAATTTGCAGACAAACCATGTAACAGTATTTAAAGAGATTTTATCTATATTAAAACTTTGAAAAAACATTTATTGGCAAAAATAGAGTGTAGTTTCCAATTTAATAAAATAATGAGTAAATGTTTAGACTTGTGGTTAAAAAGTAGGTACTCAGAGAAGTCTGTAGCCTAATGTTTGCCCAGTTATTGTAGGCACACTGAAGGCAAAGATTCCAGCTGCATTCTAGGCATATGAAGGATAAACTTGTTGTTTGATTTTCTCTGTCTCAGTTGAGAAGGAACAGTTGTTACATTTGTTCTCTTCTCCTTGTTGATTTGTATGTACAAGCCACGTGATCAGTAGTTGGTTGGGAAGTGAATCTTCTTTTCTCACTCTTCTACATAACAGACCAGTTCAGAGTATGTATTTGCATCTTGCATTTTTTAAGTATTTACGATCTCAATAAATTGTTTCCTATAACTTAATAGAACATGATAACTGTCTACCATCTACCTCTCCCACAGACAATTGAACTCATCAATCCATTGTGTTGTCTCTTGTATGGAGAGGTTTGGACTGCTTAGCCACTGTACAGACTTTACAGTATATTACATCAACTCCGGTAACAACAATAAACCCATGCATTAACACACACAATTTTGTATAACGGTGTGATAATATATTTGTTAATAATCACTATTTTCTTTGGCAAATTCAGTGGGCGGATCCACAGCTATAAAAATGTACCACAGCTGATGTCCTCTAATCCAGCTTATTCTTTTTGCCCTAGGGAGAAAAAAACTACTTGAGCCCCAACAAGCTGCATTGTGTCTCAGTTGATGTATTTTTTCACAGCTCCTTTTAAACTAATGCAAAGTGAGCTGTATCAGTTGTCTGTTGTACAAATGTCTTATCTCGTCCTAAGAAATTGTTGTCTTATGCCTAATTTACTGGACTTATTCCTGTGGTCAACATTTTTATTGACACTAGTAATGTACTCATTTCTGACAGTGGTAAAAAACATAAAGAAGAGCATAATAACTATACAATGGTTTTTTTGTTTCAGTTTATCAAGATGAGAACACTTTAATCCCCAAGAACTCAGCACTCATTGTTGTCAGAGTACCTCTCACAGCACAGCAGAAACGCGCTTGGTAAGTTTTAAAATTAACACAAATTTTGGATTTATTATAAAGCAACTGTTTTATTAAGTTTCATAACCGTCCTGCTATGTAGAAAAAATGTGACACAAGTACTTGACATACAGGGATATGAAATACTGCAGATGTGTTAGCGAAGCCCATAATATCCAACAGTCAATGCTAAGTTAATAAATTATCATATCCTCTAAGTGATTGGTGTGCACCCATTAGTAGTGTGGTGACCAGGGTTGCCACCCGTCCCGATTCTGCCGGGACAGTCCCGATTTTGGTTCCTAATGCCCGTATTTAAGCCTGTGTTAATCCGGGAGGGAGGTGGGCAATGTCCCGATTTTTTCCTGACCTAAGGTGGCAACCATGGTGGTGCCCCTTTAATTAACTTACCGAGGTTATTGGGACCGAGACTATCTCGATTACCGAAGATTTTGGATAACACACATAGTGAATGAAAAATTTGCAATTCAATGCAAACATTTTGTTGATTAAGGTACAGTCCCTCTTATCCGGACATTGGTTTAACCGGGCTACACTCGGCGGAAATTACATCTCTGTAACTGGATAATTTTTATCAGCACATCAGTTTAACCGGACTAGATAGGCAGGAAGTGGGGGATACTGAAACTGATTACTATTCTTGTGGGAAAGATTTGGACCAGTGATTAAATACGATGCTCTCCTAAATTTAAGTAAAATACTGTATACAGTCCACATGCATTTAAACGGTCTGTTCTAACGAGTTTTTGGGGACGTTGGTTGAACCGGAAAACCCGTTACCTAGAATGGCCTCGGTCCCGAGGAGTCCGGATAAGAGGGAGTCTACTGTAGTGTTATTAAATAAAGAAAACAATTACTCAAACAATGGTCAACATTTCTTAAATCGCCTTGAAAAACTTTAAATAAAAAATTATAAAAGAATTATGCTAAGCCAACATACTACAGTTTTAAAAACGCAATAAGATGGATCTTTCTAGTTTACTAAGTATTAAAATTTTTTTAACTGAGTTTGACCTGAGCTTTACTTGGCACAATCATGTCCATATTAAGATACTGTTTAATGACAAAGACTGACAAAAGGCGATGGTAGTCAGTTAAATGTTCAAGCAGAAATGCCAAGCTCACTGCTATTGTTTACATTCTACAGATGTCTTATCCAGCTTGCCCCAATGGTCGGCGGCCAACCTTTCAGCTTGCTTTGTGATTTTCATTTTCTAGGTTATTGCGGTTCGTTCATATCTAAAAAAAAACAAAAAAAACTAAAAAAAACCATAATAATTATTTTAAGAACACAATACCCAAATTACTTGCTAATTTTAGTTTCCTTTCAGCATAAAAATTTGTAATAATGTAGGCCAATACAATACTGTATTTCAACCAAAAATAAAAATATATTTAGGCCTAAAATGACCTTAATTACCATAAAGGCTCAGATAACGGGGGCTCAGATAATTAATAGAATACTGCATTCAATTAAGGGTTTCCTTCTAATAAAAGTTATGTATGCCTCAACACAAGAGCTAAGTTGAAAGATAAGCTACAAAAGGGAACATTGATACTGTTAACAACAACGTTCAAGAGATATAGTCAACACAAATACAATTGTAGACGTATTGGTCACCGCATTCAACAGTGCAAAATAATGGTGGCTTCTCTGGGGAGGGGACAACTATCTCCCCCTTGCCGGTGAAAAGGTAAAAATTAAGTATTTCTTTTGGATGATGTGACTTTTTTGTTGCAAGGGAAGATCTGTCCGGACCTGAAAAACATTGCATGTCAAGACTGGCAGAATGTTATTTTTCTTGTTGTTTTACATGTTTTAATTTTCAGGGACAGACAAGAAGCCAACCAGCAGTTGGCAGGACTTAAACACGTTAATGTAAGTTTTTTCCTCTCTTTAACTGGTCAATAATATTTTTAAATAACTGCACACTGAGTAGTAGGAAAAGAGAATAAATTATGCATGCGTTTAGGCCTACTTGTAATTAAAAAATTGGCTTCACTTAAAAGTTATAGGTATAAACTATAATATTATAGTACAAACCAAGTCAAAACTAACTAGGCAAAACTAGTCAATATTTGGATTTTTGAATTTCCATACCAGATGTCTTGCGGTCCAATGTATATTTCTAACTCAAATTCATACTTGCTGTATCAGTGTTGGGGAGTTATGTCTTTCTACCACTATGCAGGAGTAGGCTAATAGTGTATAGGTTATAATAGTAGATAATGAGTGATTTCCATTTATAACAGGTAAATTGCCTGATTTGTATTTTATATTTATCATTGATTTCATGTTTGTTAATTGAATCTTTTCAATCTCTAGCCAAACATACCATTGACATATCAAGAAGGTCAAGATCCTCTGGTTCAGAAACTTGCCAAGGTAAGATGATTTTAAACCAAGTGAATAGCATTTACCAACTGGGCCCTGTTTCATAAAGATACTAGTCTAGTAATTACTAGTCTAGTAAATACTAGTCCCGTATTTACCTGTCCTACTAATTTGTGTTTCATAAACGTTTTTATACCGCTAGTAAATACTAGTGTATTTTACTAGTCACGTGACCAAAACTACTAGTCACGTGACCAACTTTACAAGGTAAACTTTCAAAACAAATTTCTAACCTCAATCACGGGTTTTCAAACCCTTTATAAAGGGTTTTAATTTTGTTTTCATTTGATACAAAAAGTAAATAGTTGTAGAAACGCAGTGTTTTCTTTTAATTAATAACTATATAGACACATAAGTAAAACAATCACACATTATTTATCAAACCGCTATTATTTATGTTCATCAATGAGCCTGCCGACGCGCCGGCGCGGCGCGGGGCGGCGTCGCGTCACTGCAATCAACACGGTGATTGTAGTACCCGGTTGTAGGCGAAACAATTGGGTGGAAGTTGGATCTGTTGCTGCCGCATTCGCTGTGATTTGTATAGTTTTTGTTTTATTCTGACATATAAAATTAAGCTTGCTATAAGTAAAGAAAAGAAGGCTCAAATTTTGAATGTAATTAAATCGTCTAAGGACATTTTGTTTATTGGAACGGTTTCAAATACCCTTACCTATGTTTTCAAATATTCGAATGCATAAGGATATTTGGGTTAAAAAACATTTGGTGATATTCCAATTTTGAGTCTACAAACCATGAATAACAAGCCTAAACGTTTATTGATGCAACGAATAATTGCAACGCCGTTACAAGCAATGGAGAAGTAGGTTTTCAAGTATAGTAAAACATGGCATAGGCGCTATTGCAGGGCGTAGCTCAGAGGTGGAGTTTTTGCTTCTCATGTGGTGGGTCCCTGGGTTCAAATCCGCACCACTCACTATACTTTTTGTTCCATTAATTAAACTTTTACATGTTTTTACATTAAAAAACAGCTCTAATCAACATCTAATTTTTGTATTACTTTGAATAACAAATTCAGAATACCAAAATGGATTTTTCAGGTAGGCGATTAAAAGTAATGTTTTTATGATGAGCAGTTCAGTCCAACGCCCAAAAATCAAATATAGACCTACAAAATTGTTAGTACATCACAGGGTTTTAGCTATTTAGGGAAGCAAATAATAAGCACCTCAAAAAATACAATGCAACTCCTCTTTAAAATTGTCTTACTATTATTTCCTATTAAAATGTCTTTAAATAAAACCGAGAGCCTTGGGTGTAAAATAATCTGATTAATGTTGCAATGTTGGATACATTTTTGTACATCTTTGTATGCAATGTGGTATGCGGTTTTTAATTTGGTTTATCTCGAAGATTAAAAATCTTTTATCTGTGATAACTAAATAGTTGATATAACCATGAAATTTAACTCAAGTAAATTTAGACTAAAACTTCACAGAAATTGATAACTTATAATTATAATTATTCTAATAGGGCAATTTTACATACATTATAAAATTCAATTCCACTCATTTTGTACTTCGCCACATTTATTGATTGTAATTTACATCTAATAATTATCACTTTAGCACTCACAGATCTATTTTTATCTTAAATTGCAAACTTGAGACAATACGCACTTGAAAAAAGAATTCAATAATTCATTTGTTTAAGTGATGTGTGTAATGAAATAACACTGTTTCCAAAAATGCTAGTCTACTTCAAATAATACGGGTGTAGAGAGGTTGTTAGAAAATGACAAGTATTAACCAGTGTAATTTACAAGAGTAAATCTTTATGAAACACATTGCTGTCTACACTAGTAAAAACCACTAGTAATACTAGTCCCTACACTAGTAACTAGTATTTTACACTAGTAGGTTTTTGAAACGTAGACTTGTAAAATACACTAGTATTACTAGTCCATGGACTAGTAAATACTAGACTAGTATTTTTATGAAACAGGGCCCTGGTCGCACTAACTGAGCTAAGTAAAAATGGAAAACAATAAGGAGATGGTCTTTTTAACAGTGCTTTAAACTTATTTGCTCGGTTGTTCAAGTTCTAAAGTACACAATGGTTATGAATAATTTTTTCCTACCAGAAAGGTTTGCCTTTATTTTAATTAGATAACTAAATATTGATCTTTTTCCATAAAGGAACGGTGGCTTTAAGGCTGTGTCAATATTAAAATATTAAGATAATGCTGATAAACTTAGTTAATTGAACAATTTCAATTTCAACTTATCAAAACTAACTACTAGGTAGTGAAAAATTTGTAGTTTGATAATTTTTAGTCAGTCTCCTTTGATCAGGTGGTGAAATTAAACCCTCCCTTAATTGTATTAATTTGATCTTGGTTGATTACTAAATATCATAGTCCCTCGTAATTGATTTGCAGTTCATTATTACATACAACCATTGACTATCACTGTGAAAAAGTTTTGTTTGATTTTTAACATCACATTGTCTACTTAAATACCGTTAAATACATAAAAAATATGTATGTAGCCTACCTTTAAAATGACTAATTCTTTTTCCATGTTTTACAGGCTGTGGACTTGTCCAGTCTCGACGCCAGTGAAGATGACAAGATTGCGGCGATGATGACACAGTCCACCCAAGACTATGATCCAGTCAAGTATGTTGTTGATGAATTTGACCTTTTTTACACTATAAGAATAAATCCAGTTTTTATTGCTTTTCATACTAGTTACAACAATATTGATTAATTACAGTTTCAAGTAGCTAAAAACACCTAAACAACAACCATTAGTCAATTAGACAAAAAGGTCAACGTTGGTCAACGTTAAATTTGCACAAGACCAGGTTTTGAACCGTCCCCTTACCAAAAATGTTTAAAAGCTTCTAATCGTGCAGGTACAAAAATTAAACGTCAAAATAAAATAATAATTTCAAAATCAATTTATGATTTTGAAATATCTTGGGATGGATGGTAATATTCTGTTCTCTTTGTCTAGTCATTACACCTTGTAGTAAGGAAGTTGTGTGTCATTTAATTTTTTCTCTCTATAGGCCTACTTTAATGACATTTTCTATTGGTATATGAAAATATTTGTCATCAAAATTTGTATTTCTGATCACGGTTTAAAACTAATAAAATTTCCATTGATTTAAAATTTGAATATCGAAGAAACAGGTATTGCAAAGTTGTTTTTTATGGTGTCATGTCAACTGAAAACAGTGTGAGTCGCTGGTTAGTTGGTGAGATGAAAATGATGCTTGCTTTTCATATTGTCCTTGTTTCAATGAAACATTTTGTAAATGTTGCAGCTATGCTCGTATCAGAGGAACAACACAGGTAGGAGAAGTGCCCCCCAACTACAGGTGTTACAAGTGTCATCAGGCTGGACATTGGATCAAGGATTGTCGCTTAGGACAGAATCAGGTGAGTGAATCAATCATGTCACATGAGGTACAGTGGTACTCCAATTATCCAAATCAATTGGGAACGTAACACATTTGTATGATCAAAAATTCAAAAAATCATAGGCCTACTATTATTGAAATTCTTTATTTTACAAAAATAGGTTGAGTCGAGCTGATTGTTTACTTTGGCGATCGCAGAACGGGTCTGTTAAAATGTTGCGACCAAAAAATTTAATGCCAAGGTTCCTAGAAAGCGGTGGCTAAACCGAACTGTCCTCAAAGCAAGGTCGGTTAAAACAAACAGTTATATTTTATGATTGAAGACGGATAATCCGATTATCTCTTAATGCGAGGTGGGTTAAGTGGGGGTCCACTGTACATTTTTTTTACTTATATTTGTTTGATTATTTTTTTGCTTAAAAAGCTTTTTATCTTTTTTATTGAATTTGTACCTATGTCTATAATACGATGAAGATATTAGTTATGATTTACCACAAAGCTGATAGCAAATACATCAACTAAAGAGATATTCATTAAAATAAATAATTAGTTCTTTGAATTTTCCCTTTATTATCGTTGAGAGAAAAATGTTTTATTTACTTGAGCAATTTTACTGCCTTGTGGAGCTTGGGCTGAGCAACTAGTAATGATTAAATTTTAAAGGGTATTGAAGATCTACTAATTATCCCGTTTCATTAACCATTCGGCTTGGTAATAAATTTTATAAGACTTGTATTCTTCACCGAATTCCCATAAGTTATAGCAATAGTATTATCAGTGAACTACAACCTTGCCTTGTCTGCAGATGTTTTGCATGTTTGTACAATCCTTGAGTTACCTTATCTCACAGACTGATTTATATCAGCATTTTGTGTCCTTATCTTTGCGCTTTGAAGTCTTTTTTATTCTTATCGTTCAGAGCTACCATTCGTGGACCCCAAAACTTTAAAATTGAGCTTGTAACTGATAAACATTGTATGGCCTATTAAAACATAAAACAACTATTTTACATAATATGTTAAATTCTCTTTACCGTTTGCAATCTTCTCTGATGTTTTGTAGAAATGATCTTACTTTTCCTTGTTATTCCCTCAGGAGAATCAGCCAGAGATCAGGAAGAGTACAGGGATTCCCCGGAGTTTTATGGTTCCAGTGGAAGGTCCTCAAGTACCTGGAGCCATGATGACCCCTACTGGACAGTTTGCTGTACCGTCGATTGATCGGTAGGCCTAAGTTGAAACTGTGATTCATCCTCAAAATTTATTTAAAGGCGATTAGAAATTTAGTTTAAGGTTTTTTTTAGACTCGTGGTTTTCAAACAAATGGGCTGTTGAATCTTTTTAGTGGTGGGCGATGCTTCAAAAATGTATTGAAATTTTGATTCGATTCAGCCTCTAATATAAGTTTTAGATAGGGATGTGTCGATTATCGATACCACCAATACTTGGATATTGGCATCGGTATCAAGAATCGATTGTCAAAAGTCGATTTCGATAACAACACCCGACAGGGATAGATATTTTATTTTAAAATTTATTTATTTTATAGCTAAGCTAGGCTATTAGTTTTGCCATCACGGCTAACAACTTCAGTAGCCAACTTAGTTCTATTCAGTTCATAACAGCTACGGTGCCTTTGTGCTTCAGCTGTTTTCTGCAGATGATATTGCACAACATAACTTACATTTCAAGATGTCAGACTCAGACAACAAATGTCCTGCCAACCCGAAGTTATACAAAAAAAAAAATGTCTGTATCAATAAGTCAGACCTTTATATATATTATTTTTAGTACAAAATAAATAACCTAAACAAGTCAAAATGTTCAGTTTCATCCCTGCATTACGCATCATTAGAAAAATTAGATTTAACTTCAACATCCTCGTAGGGTTAGGCTTGCCTTATATTGCGCCAATAAGTAGATCCATATTTTACTGTACTATCTACGTCTAGTTAAAGAGTTTAGTGAAGTTTTAAGTGCTACTATAACATAGTGTATTGATTGAAAAATATCATATGCATAGTCCATGTCGATTTTGTAATATTATAATTAATGGTGAATGTTGACAATCTAAGATAAATCAAAGTATGAAACAAGAGTTCTCATTGGTCGAAAGGCGACGTTGCACTACCATTTCAGCCAATCAACATTCGTGTTTCAAGGGAGCAAATGACGATTGCTTTGACGTCGTTTTATGTGAGTCTATTGTGGGAAGGGTATTGATGAATATCGAAATCCAATGTGTAGGACGTGTTTGTTTATAGAGTATAAAACTAGGTTACAAGTTAAAAACTGTGTGATATTCTTGTGTCTCCCAAAGACCTAGATTCGATGTTTAATTAATTTCAGTTAACTAAGTCTTGATCTGGCTTCATGATATTGTAATAAAAACATCGATTTCTTCCGATTATATCGATATGAATATTTTTGGGTCAAAACATTGATTGTTCTGATCCGTCGTTGCCACCCCTACACGGAGGTTATAGTGACGTCGTACATAAGGGCCAGGCAGGCCGGTTCAGTGAATCCACTTTGCCCAGTCTTGCTCTTGGTATCATCTGGAACATACTTAAATACCTTTGTTAATAATTAAAACTATGGAATGTTTGTTAGAAAAGCACCCGAAGAAACATATTTTGCTGCTAAGTGCAAACAATTATTTTTACACTGTAGGCTGTTATTTTTAAATGAAAAAATAGTCGCCTAATTGCACATTAACTTGTTGAAAGTTTAATTGTATCAAATGTGCAGTCTTTTCTCTTTTATTTAGGAGATTTTAGTCCCAAAACATAATCTTTCTTGTAGGCTAAAGCTAAAAGTAAAACCTAACTAACTATAGCCATACTTATCTCCATAGACATCGACTTATTTTAACTGCACTGTCTTTAAAATACCAGCGTTTCAGGTTTCAGTCAAAATACTTTTGTAAACATTGACAATGTCCTGTTTTTAGCATAGTTTATTCCTTGTCCACGATCATTTTCACTCACTGGAGAAAAGACTTACAAAAAGTATTTGTTAACCAAGATGAACGTAAAATTTATAATGAGTTAAGAAAATCGATGCATTGCTTTTACAAGAAAAAAAAAAAACTGACATATGATTTAGATAAATACTGATAAGCCTATTGATGAATTAGAGGAAGTTTATCAGATCTCATGCTTTAGTCAAATTAAAACATTTATTTTAAAATTAACACTCAAACATTTGTTAAGTAGAATTCTCTAAGCGACTGAGGGTGAGGGAGGACATGTGAACCAGGCTTTACATCAAGTGCAAATTCTGCCAAACTGTCTCTTCCTACCCCTTGTCCTGTTAGGGTGTGGGTGGGGGAAGGGGGGCGCTTCACACTAAACACTTGCAGTTCGCTGTAGAGAGTAGAGCTGAGTTTTTGTGATAGTGACGTCTGTCACTAGGAAGATACAACTAGTGAGAAAATGTCATTATTTACGATTTAAGTTCTAATTAATAAATACTATCTTTTTGGTAGGCCTACTCACTGATCTTCTTGAAATTTGTTAAGTGAAACACAAACTTTTATTCATTTCAATATTTATTTTTAATTTCACATCTATTTATTAGGCTACATAACATGTACTAATGTATCAAATAGACAATAAACACTGATTATCAACTTTTTTGTTCGTCCTGATCCTAAGGCCCTGTACACATGAGGGCGGCAGCCGCCGCGGTTGCTATTTCGCGGGAACCGCGGCGGTTGAAAGTACAAAGGAGCAAATGGGACCGTTCACATGCAACCGCCCACTTCCAGTCAACCGCAACTAACCGCGGCGGTCGTAGATTTCCCTTCGACCGCCGCGGCTCCCGTGCGGTTGAAGTTACTAGAGTTGGCATGAGAGCGTACACATGAGGGCGGTAGCCGCCGCGGTTGACTGCAGTTGCTACTATATAGGATCACAGACATCTGCGCACTTGCCCTGTGGACATCGCTCTCTCTCTCTCTGTGTGTTGGTGAAGTGTGTAGCTGTGGCTGGAGTTGATGTAGTGCTCGTAGTGTAAGTTTAAATGGCCATGCGTGCTGCTGTGGAACCAGAAAACTTTGACACTGATCTGTTCATTACAGAAGTACAAAAAGAAGATACGTTTAGGACATAAACTAAAAAAGATTGCGTAGCAAGAGTTAGTTGAGTTTTTTGCTGAAAAGATTTGTCAAGCGTTACGCGTTTAAAAGAAAAATATTTGGGTAAATACAGTACTGGCTGTCGAGCGACGGTCAATTCACACCGCAACCGCAGCGTAACCGCGGCTTCAGCCGCTGCCATGTGTACGGTCCTAGGCGGCAGCCGCTGCGGCCACCGCGGCGGCTGCCGCCCTCATGTGTACAGGGCCTAAGAATGAACCGAAAATATTGAGAAATCCAACAATATAAAAGTGGAAATTAAGTTACCGTACATTGTAAAATAAACTAAATTTTCGGCACAGGTCAATAATAATAACAGTTGCTTAGGTATAGGCTTATTCTAATTGTTAGTGAAGTCTGGATTTCCTTCAACCATAAAATTAGCAGTGTCCATCAGCTGGAGGTTAGGTCAGCAACTATCCTCTTGTTCACTTTATTTAGTAATTTTTTTTTACTTTAACCTTTTTTTAAGGTAAACGTTCCATTACAGAAACAAATGTAAATAATTTTGAAAGAAAATCATGCCGTGCTGCACCGAATCGAATCGCATCGATTCAAATCTAAGTTCTTAGAATCGCATAATTTTGTTATAGTCTTTGAAATAGAGTTTGTTACTTTCACGTTTTGTGGTTGTGCACTTTGCTGAAACCAAGACTGACTGTAATTGGGGTATTTGGGGTTGGCTCAGTGTCTAGAGCGATGCACTACGGATCCATGACATCATTATCTAGGGCCTGGTGGTTGCCACTAAATTTGGTCTGTAGAGTTCATTCTTTTACTGTACCGTCTTACCCCTTGCTTTGCAAATTCTAAGGCTTATAACTAAGTAAGTTCCAAGGCTTATACTATTCTCTAGTTACTTTGTTGAAAGCTGTGCCTACTAGTTTTAACGTAGATTGTTCAAAGTGTAGTTTAGTTGACAACTGTATTTGCATTTTCAGCCAGGCTTACATAGAAGGGAAGAAGCCCAGCATGCCTCTAGAGGAGGTGGAAGCTAAGCCGCACATACCAGAGGAGCTGGTGTGCCCCATCTGTCATGACCTGCTCACAGACACTGTTATGATTCCTTGCTGTGGATGTTCATTCTGTGATGAATGTAGGTCTAGTATACAGTCTCATACCTACCATACTCGTGTGACACATTTATATGTAATGTTTTCATCATCTTAAAACATTGATACCTATTGAACAAGCTATAATGTTAAGTTGTTAATTATACATCGTTTGATCTTGTCGTTGTAGTAGATGAGTTAATTTTCACAAGGTCACTGTTTACAAATAAATGTGAACAATTAAACATTTCAAGTTAAACAACAATTTTGAAACATATCTATAGTCAATTTCAATTTTATAATTTAACCTTATATTGTTTTGATTCTCTCATTGGTCACGATCAGGTCATAAAATTAAATACACACGGCCATGTTTGACACAACGGAAGACAGTAGATGCTTGACAACTGAATGTTATGTTTTGTTGGTCAGTTATTAGAGGGAAGAAACAAGAAATGTCCACTCTATCATCTTCTGTACAACTAGAAGTTTTCCATTGTCTAACACCTGTCAATGTTTAAAGAACTTTGTTTTGCTGTTATTTCTGTTTCTTTCCAATCAAGAATTTTAGCTCAATGTAATTGACTCATTCGCTTGGGCACACCCGTTTTGGTTAGTTTGGTTTTGCGTCCATTGGTTAAAGAACCAAAGATGGAGTAAAATTGAACAAATCAGTATTTTACTCCCATCTGTCTAATCATAGTTAACTTTATTAAATGAAATTGCACACCACTCAAAAGTAAACCACCAGTGAGCTTTTTAATCAACCAAGCTCTAGGTAATCACAATATGACAAGAGATTTAATACGTTGTAGGCATACGCACGGTGCTGCTGGAGTCTGAGAACCACAAGTGCCCAGACTGTGGTGAGATCGGTATCTCTCCGGACACTATGATACCCAACCGCTACTTGCGTAAAAGTGTGGACACCTGGCTGAACAAGACCGGGTACCAGCGATCACAGCCAGTCCGAGCCCTCGAGCCTCCTCAGGGACAGAGCATACAGGCCCTGGGCAACAACAGGCCTCCGGAGGTGATCAACCTTGTCGAGACTCCCGACGTTGACTCTCCCAGAACCAACAGACCAATGCACAATAACTCATCCAAAGAGAGGGATAGAATACCACAGTATTCTCAACCGTAAGTCATAATTTAGCTCTCTTTGTTTGCAGTTTCTAAATTCTGGTAGGAGTAGTTAATATCATTGTCTGATACAACGGCTCCAAGTTAGTTCTTGTCTACACTGATGTTCTAAGAAAGATATTTTTTGCTGGATAAGACAACACTACTGTGTATGTTTCTGTAATAAGCCACCAAACAGTGAAAGCAAGTTTAATTTAGGTATATTGTGGTTTTGTATTGCTGTCAAAAGTTTGCGTAACTTGGGGGGCCTACATAATTACTATACTGTGAAAAACCCTGTTGGATTAAGTGGTCTAATTCGACAATTTTTTAATGGGATTAACCCTATGGGGTGTATGAGGCCAATTAATCTTGGAAAACACTAATGGCATAAAATAGGCATAGGCCTACTAATAAAACCATCACCATGGGGTTTAACATACTTTTAACCAGTTTAATTTGATAACATGAAGTTACTATAAAATCACACATATAAAAAAAAAAAAAAACTTTAAAATGGATAAAGAACTACTCTCAAATCTCGTTACATTCAACAGTCATTATTTATGCTCTGTTTTCAAAGCAACAATTAAGGTAACTGGTTTATTTAGTAATCTGTAGTCTTAACTCTGACTGGTTTGTCCAGGGATAGGTCTGCCACTCCGACTGTTGATGAGAGAACCACACTTCCTGACACTTCAGTACCTCCTCCAGTCAACACTTACCCGATAACCTCAACTGCTTACCCACCGGCCAACTACGGTATGTTTTGTATTTGTAAATAGATTTTCTTGTTTTGAATATCTGATATCACATTTCTCTAAGTTAGTATAAATTTCTTGGGCTTACCTGCTGAACTGGATGACTATCTGCTAAGATTAATCCTCATACATGAAATTGATGAGAAAATAAAAGTATCTAATAGTTTATTTGACAACTAAGTAGATGAGGATAAGTAGACTGTAGGATCGGTAGGATACACAGCTGGTCAGGTATCACACACATTTTCTTAGGGTCTGACTTAGGGGAGGTACAAATGAGGCATTTAGTTCAAAATTCCTCCGTGAACAGCGCTGTAGTAAAGAGCACTTTGGCAATGAAGGTTTACTAATCGCAAAAATAGTTCTGTTCATAAAATAAAATTATAAATGCCTAAAATTCTATTTTATTAATTTTTTATTATAAAATTAAACTATCATAATTTAACCGAACTAACCAAACTTGCTGATAAAGAAATAATATAACAAAAGTTTTATAGTAATCGGAAAAATAATTCTGTTTATAAAATAAAACTAGAAATTGCTCAATTAAAATTTTATAATTACTTAATAATAAAATTAAACTGTAATAACCAAACCAAACCAACCAAACTTGCTGAAAATGAAAAAAATCTTGGACAAAAAGTTAATGCCACCGGCGGGATTCGAACCCGGGACCTACAGTATATCAGCCCGGCACGCTAACCATTAGACCACCGAAGCCGATGGCTATCAACCGTTTTGTTACGGTAATGGCGTTCCCTCAGCTAATAAGAAGCCCACAGCTGTCATCGTAGCCTCTTCTATACCTCCCCTGAGTAAATACCATTTTCTTATCACTCGCAGGTTCCATTGTCTCTACACTCCCCTCCCCTCTCCAGTATTTCTATTGGGGTGTTGTGTGTGATGTTTGAATTAAAATAAAGTTGGTTGTTTAAAACATTACCTTTGTCTGATTTGACGGCTCTATATATGCACAGCTTCATAGTTTACATGCTCTGTAGGTCCTCCGCCAGGTTATGGTGGTCCTCCACCAAACTATCCGAGAGTTCCGTTGCCGTACCCCAATCTGGGTCCTGGTCCGACTCCCAGCTACCCTCCTGTGGAGCCAAGAGGTAAGACAATCTACTGGCCAATAACACATGGTTATGTGTTACTGACTAGTAATATTATTTAGATGTATTTTTTTCTATTTTTAATACAAAGTTTTGTGATTGAGGATTGAGTACTTAACATAGTTAACACTTTGGTTTTTGGACCAAGTACAATGGATATGGTATAGCTTTATACTTACAATTTGTTTGCTACTATGCAACAATATGAACCCTCATTATTTAAATTAGTTATTTATTCTGTGTTATCTCCGTAGGGAACATGCGGCCAGGATACGGCAGACCCTATATCCGGAGAGGAGGCAGTCGGATACACGGAGGGTACCATGACAGAAATAATCTGCCTCCAGGGTAAGTTGCAAAAGTAGTTCTTAAGTTGGGTTCTAACAATATCTTTACCTTGTACTCTGTTCTAGTAGATTGTTGCTTCAACTGTGCACATGCTCTTTCCTGTTGACATTTTTCAAACGGTTAGGTTTTATAATTTTAATACACATGCACGTAGAAATTTGAAGTAAAATTTGTTTCTGCAAACAAGATTTTTTTGTGTGTTTATATACTTATTAGATTGATAAATATCGCACAAGTAGATTTATAAGAATAAGTTAATAGATTCAATTTACAAATTAAACTAAGTTGGCTTAAATACAGGGTGTTTTTAAAAGAATGCCGGGATTTTTAAATGATCATTGCTTGGGTACTATTCAAGGTAACTAAACGTTTTATACCTCAAATTGGAGCTAAAAATAACACAAGTTTTGCAAACCTGTGCAAAACAGGTGCGCAGTGGTAGGCCACTATTGTTACTCATACGCCTGACGCCAGTTGCAAGTGCGACGTTTACGGAACAGAAGGCACAGATTGTAATTTGTGGTTCGCAGAGTTTATATCCATTGCTAAATTAAACCAAATTTAAATCTACTTGATGATAAAGAAACTTGAAGCTGGTTTAATGAGCTTCATGGCACCTTAGTGTTTTGAAAAGACATTCACCTGGCCGGCTAAAAACAAACGATGACATAGTCAAAGAAATCTGACAAATCTGCATCAGAAGCCCGAAAAAATCGATTGCCCGACAAAGTCTTCAGTTGAAAAAACCTAAATTGGTCACTTTATAGTGTTATCTGTAAAAGATAGAGTCTTTGTGTCTAAAGAGATTGATTTAAGACATCAGATAAACCCGCCGATCGTCCTAAGTGTACATACTTTGCCAGTTTTACGCTCAATAAGATTAAACAAAATCTGAACTTTATTAAATCATTCCGAATTGGATCAAAGAGTGGGAACAAAACTTTGTTCTTTTCCCTTCAATTTGACGTTTAAATCGTTTAATTATCTTGAATAGTCCCTGAGCAACGACCGTTTAAAATCCCGGCACTCTTTTAAAAATACCCTGTATTTGTCAAAATAACCTTTAAAATAAACCAATTAATAATTGTCCATATCAATTGCCTACCTTGCTTTGTAAATACAGTACTGTAGGCCTACTTCCATTTTTAATGTGTGTCACATTTTCTTGATTTTTTGTTACCTGCTTGTGTTTTCTTTTGGATTATGTAAATGATTGATAGTGGCTGTTTTCAGTTATTTTGTTTTTTTTGTCACAAGCTTATTGTAATTGTAAAAAATAGACAATTTGTTATGAATCCTATTCTATCTAGGTTTATTTTGATTGTCATGGCTGATTGAAAGATACAAATATGGCTGGATAGAAAAAGGACAAAAGGCAAACACTTGTTCTGTGTTTACAAATATTACTGATCTTAGTGATCTTACCACCCTACTTGTGAATGTTGCTGTAAGAAGCAAACTGATCAGTATGGATATTATAACTTGTTACCAAGCAAACTTAGAGATCAATTAGTTGTATATTGGCCTATTGTATCATAAGTATTTGGGACAAAAAATTTTACGGTCAAAATAATCTGTCTGTAGCTTGCTTGCCATGACAAGCTTAACCAACATTGTGAGAGGAGCAACAGGTTCATACATTTAAAGGGTAAGATGCATCTAGAAGAAGCATCATAATCCCAAGTACTGTATCTATTGAACCACAGGATTCAATCAACTTGCATGTGGGGTGTGGGGGTGTGTTTGGGTTGGTGTTTTCACTGTTTGTTTACCACTGTTAGGGCCATCGACGATCCGTTGTCGGCTTTTGAGAAGATTTTGCGAGAGAAGGACAAAGAACGGGAACGCATCAGGAGGCGCAAACGCTCATTCTCACGATCTCTCAGTCCTCGACCGAGATCAAGAGCTTCTAGGTCTCGCTCTCCTCCTTTACATCATCGGAAAAGGTAGAATATGCCAAGCGCTGCGATGAGAAAGAGGCTCTGGACTTTGTGAATTGGTTTACAAAAGTTACTTGTTGATGTCGTACAAAAGTTGATGCCGTACAAAAGTTACTTGTTGATGTTGTACAAAAGTTATCTGTTGATGACGTTTTGTGAAAGAAGCTAAATTACAAAAAGATTCATTGTAAAACTTGGTCTCTGTATTAACAAAACATTGATTAAGCTATATATAGTTCATGTTTTGTGAAGTTTTATCAATTGTTCAACACTTACAAGTACATTAAAATATATATCAATTTGTATTTGGATTTTTATTTGAACTGGTATCATCAAGTTACCAAACGATATTCAAAAGTAGGAGGTGAAACGAGCCTTTTTCTCTGTTTTTACAAAGGTATCCTCTGCCAACCTTGCTTATTGTTTCCACAGTGTCTGGTTTCAATCTTGAACAGTTTGTAGAGAACATTTTGTCAATAGGTGATGTCCGATCTAGACTGACTTTTGTTTTTAAATTTTTAACATAGTGATATTTATTAACCATTGCATATAACCATTTGAAAAAAACTGTTTTAAACGTTTGTTTACCGAACAAGTATGGTCCAATATTTTTAAAGTGTTACTAAAAGGATATTTTGCATGAACAGACACTGTGTGAAACACACTGAACCATTTGCTTGTGAATCTATCATTGTGTACATTGTTTTCTCTCCTTTCATACTTCAAAAATAAACTCCACTCACAAAAAATGTGCAGAGTTGGTGGGGGATCCAGTTTTTAGTTGAACTACAACAAAATTAATAAACTAATTTTTCTTTATAACTAAATTCTGAAAACTAATTCTATCTGTAGTCTTTATTTTAATTCTAAAACTGTCTTCCTTACACTCAATATGAGCCTACTTGAATTTTTCTCAGTCCATTTTTCCCCAATTCTTTTTGGCTTTAAACTGTTATTTGATGAAATTTAAATACTAAATAATACACAACTGCTTTGTTAAAACTTAAAACCCATTAAAGGAAAACAAATTATTCCAATATATTGGAACATATTCTTAAATTTCAAAATTATAACTGGAATGTTGTTTGTACAGGGGCACTGTTTCCCCGACCCCCCCACCAGTTCGGCAGAGGTCGAGGACCCGAACACGCAGTCCCTCTCCCCCTCCCCGCCGCCACTCCCCCTCACCTGTGTCACACCCGCGCGGCGCTCGGTCACGCTCACTGCACCGCAGCCGCAGCAAGTCGCGCACTCCGCCACGCAGGGAGGTGAGGTCAAGGTCGAGGACCCCTGTAAAGCGACGCAGCCCGTCGTTCACTATCAGCAAGTAAGTAAATTTTGTGGTATAGTGGTTGTACGTCATACCATCCATGATCCCATTTCTTACTGAACTAGGTAAAAAACAATGTTTTACTCTTTAGACACTGAAGTGCTGTTCAATTTTACATGTAATTAAAACAAACACCTATATCAAAGCTCTGCTTGAAATTTCATCATTGAAAACCTTAATTTTGTATGAGTACAGTGGTACCATAAATCTACAAGAATTTCCTTTCATAACCTTGAAAATGCTCCTTAACAAGATTAGTTAAATGTTGGGTAATATACCTTGCTCTGTTTCCTCCAATTCTATTTAGTATAGACTCAAGTACATAAAATTGTACCCTTGTTAAAGCATATAATTTTTTACATATCTTAAATACACTTTCCCATATATATATATAAAACCGAACAAAAAACTGTGAATTCACAGAGCTTATTCATTTAAATATTGTAGATACACATTTACTGAGAGGCAGTATTGCTTTTGGTTTGTCTAATGTTGTACATGGTGTATAGCCTTAGTGGGTTTTGGTTGCATGTTAAGGTTACATAACGACAACATACTTTGCAGTAGCATATTTTTGGGCCTAAATGTTACTTCTTCAACATTTTGAATAAGAAAACGAGTTGGATTAAAATGTTTACCATAGTTCCTCAATTTTGGGCTGAATCTCCAAATAACTCTTTGCCCATTCTGATATTATTATTTGGTATTCAAAATAAACTCTAACATAGCCAATAGTAATAACAGAAAATCACAGTCCTTATGTGTAAGTTGCAGGTTCCAAACCTGGATTTGTCCCTGAAAGTAATAGCCCCGTGTCTCTTTATTCTGCAACAGGCAGTTCTGTGTGGTGTGCGACTTAACTGTACAATAAATTCACACATTGTTGCTTTCTAATTTAGCAATACATTTAACTCTGGTTAGATTTCTGGAGGGTCAGAATAATCAGGGACCAAATCATCAAGGGACTTTTGTAATGTTTCAACTAGTTACTTGTTATAAATTGTTTTTCATGCAGGTTAGGCCTACACCTTTATTGTAAGATAAGATTTGTTCACAGATCCCGTTCTCGTTCATTCTCCAGGACTCCGTCGCCAAGAGATAGACACTTTTCACCTCGCAGAAGAGATGAACGATTCAGAAGCCCTCTCCAGGGTAGAAACTCTCCTCAGAGGTAAATAAATCTAAGTGATTAATAGCATCGATTATGGAAGGACTGATAAATGATTATTAGGAGTGGACATTCCACCCCTCAATAATTCTGGAGCTATTTGCTATCCAATTCCCTTGATGTCTGGTAGACCTATTTCTCGAGGCCATTTTTTTAAACATTTTTATAATTGTGAGACTTGGTTCAAAACTTGAATTAAAGTAGCCGTTGCTAATTTATAGTGACGATTGATTTTACTGAAACAGAAATCTCACATTTTACACTAGTCAGTGTGTGCAAACTATGTATGTTGAAATGTTGATGTCAACTTACCAAAATTCACTCTTGGTAGGTTATACAAAAATTATATTGGTAGGTTATACAAAAATTATATAATTTACCTCATCTGACACCTTTATCTGTTGGCAGGTTCCACAGTCGACGTCGGCCGCCGGATGACTATGAACCTACTTTCTACGAGAACCGCCGCGGGGGCCGGACACGGGGCTATCCCCGAGACCCTACCTACTTCACATCCCCTGTCAGGTACTGGCCTTGGCCTACATGTGCGTGATAGTGTAGATGATAAGATAGCAACACACTACGTCTAGAGACTTGTGTACACCTTGGGGCTAATGTGTTGTGGGTTACAGCAACTGAAACTTAAATAAATAAATAAGCTACTTTATGCTTTTTACATAAATATTATTACCTGTCCTAAAGTTAGTTATGGTCAGAGAACAACCACTAATATTTTTTAAAATGGAATCTAAAAAAAACCAAATGAAAGTGTTAAGTTTAATTGTGGTTTTTTGACGAAGTTTAGGTTAAAATTTCAACTCTAACTAAATCAAACTTTTATTATTTTGAATATAAAATTATGTATTTTTCCTTATTAGAAACAAAGACAAAATAAACAAGAAACCAACAATCTTTGTTTTTATTTTCTCATAGTTTAAATATATGTTTTCAGTTCCAAAGGCAGGTACACAAGTCTTTTCAGCTGCTAAATATATTTTAAAATGAGAGTTGCATGTGTTTAAGTAGAATATTGTATCGTTCTACAAATAATGAAATATTGCCTTATAAGACTGTTCTAAGACTTTTCTACTTACCTACGTCATTAGTTTAGGTATATTCTCCCAGTGAAATTATGTGTTCATCAATAATAAAACTGATGACACATTTCTACATGTAATTCACTAGAGATATGAGTACAAGCGGTTGTGATATATCTGTGATATTTTAAAGTTGTTGCTTACTATTTGTACATACAATTTTGTTTATATACATATATTATTTTTTAAGGTTATTTATATTTTTGTTTTCCAGTGTAATTATAATTCTTTTAGTGGTACCGTATTGTTAATTTTCAAATTGTAAATTTTTCAAAATGTCAGGATTAGACTTTGTTGAATGGATAACAAAGTTCCAGTGTAAGTTGGATTAAAGTTGAATCCAAAAGTTGTCATTGCATTGCCTATTTTTTATAAGATACAAAGTGTTTAAAAAGTGTTACAAAAATAATTTATCACATTACAAATTTGTTGATATAGTCTTAATGACTAGTTTTGTGTCTTAAATAACTGTATTTGCTGAAAAAAACATTGTTTGTGAGTTAATAGTAAAAGTATGTTTCATATTAATAAGTAAATCTGTTTACCAGTTAAATTTGCAAACAATTAATTGTTACATGTCCTAAAATGTCAATAAGTATGACATAAGTTTGATATATAACTGCACAATTTTAATGTGTCAACTTAAACAATGTTTGTAAATTTTTGATCCAACACTTATGATAACTTCTGAATGCTGAAGTGTTGTTAGTTCACACAAATAGGTACTAACTCAAATGATTGAATATAACTCATCAGGCACTGGGTCCAGATTTTCTTCTGGGTCAAGATTTTCTTCAGTATTGTGTTAACATTTATCATTTTATTAAAATAAACATTTGCATTAAGCATTATATTTGGTGAACTTATATTAATCTGTGGATATGTCCCTAAGGAGGTTCCAGCACTCATTGATTTCTTACATGAAACATTTATACGTATTATAGTTAAGTGGACATTTTCTATAAAGTTCTTAAACACCTTTGGATGTCATATAAATGAATATTTAAAAATTTACTATGAAAGTACTGTTTCCCTAGTTAGTAAAAAACTTATTATAAAAAAAATTATTGATATAAAGAATATTTTCTTCTTCTTGCAAATATATCACTTAAAGGGTGTGTGTGTATGTAAAGCCTATATTGAAAAAGTTATAGTAGTTGCCCACTTTTTTAAAACTTATACTTAAAGGTAAAGACTGCAATACATAGCCTACAAAGCAATATACTAGAATGTTCACTAAATTTTTTACGTAGGTACTTATTTCTGTTGGATGTTTATTTAGATTTTTGATTTGCTCAGGAGTTTGTGTGAAATGTAGTTAAAAAATTCAGTAAACTAGGCCTATAATAGAAAACAAATGGAATAATATTACTTACTTACTGCTGTGGCCACTGGTACCCAAAATGGTACTTGGCCTCCCCAACACACTGCCTCCACATCTCTCTGCATCTTGTGTCCTCCTTCCTTCTTCCCATTTTTCTAATGTCCTTTTCAACTTGGTCCCACCATCTCAGTTTCGGTCTACCAAGGGGCCTTCTTCCTTCTGGGTTGTTCTCTAATACACTACTTTCTCTTTAATAACAAGTTGTCTTATTTTCTTAAGATATGCCCTGCCCAGTGCCCACCTCATCCTTCTACTCCGTACCTCAGCAACAATATCCGGATCTTTAAATAATTCTCTCAGTTCCCAATTATGCTTTACTCTCCATTGTCCATCTTCAAAAGTACACTCTTTCTAATATTTTGTTTTCAAATACTATAATTTTCTTTTGTGTGTGTTTGTGTTTTTTTTTTACTTAAAACCCAAGTTTCTAATCCATACAGGAGAACTGGTCTGATGATGGTCTTATAAATTCTGTGGTGATGTGGGGTAGTATTTTTGAGCTCAATAATTTGTGGCAAGCTGAAAAACTTTTTTGTGCTAAGTTTAATCTATTTTGTTTTTCTGTCTTCATTATTAACACAATATGTAAGAATGACTCCCAAGTATTGGAAATTAGTAACTTTTTGAAATTGAAACTCTTCAATCTCAAAATGCTTTTGGTTCTGGTCCCTTAGTTGATCATCATTTTGCCGTCTTCCGCATCTCATAAACTTGGTTTTGTTCTTATTTATGTGCAATCACATTTTTTTGTATGATTGATAAGAATTTTTGTTCCATTTTTAAGTTCTTCAATACTGTGAGCAATTAATACTACGTCATCTGCAAATGTTTAAATTCCTTCCTATCTTAATCCTTATCTCTGTTCTTCTGGCTTCTTGAAAATGGAATAATATGTATAAAGTGTGATTTTGCTGTTTACTAATTTTATGTTACAAAATATTTATGGTACAAAATATTTGTTCTTAGCTTATTAGAAGGATTTGGTTGGACTAAAACTTATATGCATATTTTTCTTGTCATTAGTTCTACATTTAACTTTTAAATTATCGTAAGGTTTTTTTACTCATTTTTTGTTACAGCCTAATTATCTTTTACGATCAGCTTTTACATGCAATTTTCATAATCAATATTAGTTTAAAATTTTCTTTTATAATTTCTCTGAAGACTAAAACTTGGTAACTCTAATATACCACAATGTATGCTATCATTCTTCCCTCAACAACACTTTGATGTGTCACAAATCTTTTATTTCTTACATTTGGAAGAAATCATACATAATACAGTTTCATCTCACACCTGCAGTTTCAGTGTATTAACTAATGTTATATAATGATATGCTTTTTCAATACTCTAAATACCTACTAAAATAACTCATTTCCAATCGCTGAAATTAAAAAAAAAAAACATTGATTTCCACTCAATCGAAACATAATTTTTAATTTTGCCTGTCCTAAACATTTCTTTTCCTGTCCGAACAATAATTTCACTCTCCAAAACAAAGTTTTTCTGTCCCAAACAAACCAAGTTCCTGTTTATCTCAACAGGAGCACTCAACATATGCACTCCCTTTTTACAAGAAATATTGTTTAAACCATTGACTTTTTAATATATTGTATTGTAAAACTATGCTATGACAACTTGACACAGGATTATTATAGGATGTGATAATTTATTATTTAAAACCAAGTACTTTTGTGTAAATATTTGCATTGGGATGAATGGTATCGTTCACTGCTCATCGTAAAAGTTCCATTCCATGGCATGGATAGTTGTTTTCGCGCTCCGCTCTTAAACAATTATTGCCCCAAAATTGTTGTTAAGACTATTATTGAATTCAACTATAATTAATTGTTTGTTTGAGTTTTTTGCCAAAGCAATCTCGACACCTAGAAGCATTGTATATTATACCTTTGTTCATCAAGTTGTTTGTTTATAACTAAACGGAATGTCTCATTTACAGATTGTGTTTCTATTCTATTTTCAAACTGGTATTTTAGTTTTAAACTATTATAATAGATTGTTGCCTACAATGAAACTTTACATGAATTTAACTGTGAGAAATTTTATCAAGACTGAAATGTATACATTATGTATAAAAAATATACCCTTTTATTACAATCTTTGTTTCATTTCCTTGTATTCTTTGTATGTTTATAATCAGTTTTCTTGTGTGATATTTATGCTAGAAGATGGACTGGAAAGACTTTTGAGTGAGTGGAGTGATTGAAGAAAAGAAGAAATAGACTCTTAGTAGTGGAATAACCTGTCTTGGATTTTGATGCAATTGCTTATACAACTTGTATGTTTCTTATATGTAAATTATGTAAACTATTACTTTTTTATATCAATGTTATGTACTGAAATGAGTATTTATATAAATTGTTTTAGTGGAGACAACTTGTCCATGCTGTGTTTAGATTCAATCATATATTACTATTATTCATTCACTGTTTGTTAAGATAGTAAATGTGAATGTATTTGTATGTCACAGATTACATTGTATCATTCTAATGTTTTTGTATTGTGTGTATTTAGCCGATATTCTTGTTGTGTTGCTCATTTCTCTTTCAGTTTGTGCCAACTACCAAGTTTGCAGGTTTGTTTATGCTCATATCACTAACTCTCAGTTTAAGTATTTTTCCCATAAATTGAACTTGGTATGTTGTTTTTTTATATGTGATATACTTTCCTGTGGGATTTTACCACATTATTTAGATGGTTCTGTATCCCTGACAGTCTTTGAACGGGTCTTTTGACTAAATAATGGGTCTTTTGTCTTAATAAACATCATGTAGTCGCATGTTTATTTTGTGATTTATTACAAAATTTTTACATTAATGGTTAGGTACTCAAAACCAAATGCAATAATTATTGGGTGTACGGTAACTAAATTGCAAATTTGGGACGTAAATCCATAGAGGAACCATAATATGTAGTTAAAATTTTATAAAGGTCCTAAACTTTAAAGTAGCTATGTCACTACAACATTTTACTATTATTTTTAAACATAATTTCTGCTTGATATACAGGGTGAAAAGGTGGGG